TGAAAGCCCCTCCACCTCGGACACGCGCTAGGCGACGTCGGTCAAGACAAGGACCGCTATCCAAACAGGTCACAACTGACCTCGGGCCCAAGGCCCAACAAAACCCTAATTTACACTAAGGTACGTGCATTACTTATACGAGACTCATACATCCACAAACACTAACTTTAGCATCGGAGTCTCTTTTGCAGGTCCCCCCCCCGCCTTGGAACAGCAAGCGTACCCAGTGAAGGAGGCTCACCAATCTTGCCCAGCAGATCGTCCCCTACGACCGATCTCCGGTAAGAATAGTATATAATTAAACACTTTAAAAGAAAGTAATATGGATATTTTTATTTATTTATTTATACAATGAGCATATGTTTATTATTCAATGTTTTTTTATCCGGTGGGGTTGCACCAGAATGCAACACAACAATATATTAGCTGCACAACCTTTTGGAAAAAAAAAATGTTTAAAGGTTCCTGTAACTAGTTCTATATAATATACCAATCATCACAAAAAAAAAAAAACTAGATATATCAATTATATATACAAAAGTAAGAATTTAAATCCTCTCAAGTTCTCAACTCTCATATATTATATAAGATAAAATCACAGAATAATCATAATAGATCATTCATTATTATTTATGTAAAATTCAGTGACTTAATTTGTTTTTTTTATAAGGTAATATATTTTTTTTATTAATTATTACTTCTCTCCTTTAAATTATTTTTTTAGTATTTAAAAATGTCTCAAAATGATTAATTTTTTTTTAACTTTTTTATGCAATATTAATTATTTTTCATTAATTTAGTATTTTTTCATAAATTATTCAATTACTATAACTAAAAATAATATATTTATTACGAGTGAAACTATTTTAATAAGATTGTATAAAAAAAAATATACTTATTATTATCCTTAATTTATATATAAAAATCTCAAATTCCCGTTATTTTGAGGCTAAGAGAGTAAGATATCGAAAGATCCTCTTCCTTATATAGTAATTGTAACAATTATTTCTCCCTTTAATTTGTTTTCATTGCTAGCTGGTGGCATATTTAGAATAGTATATATGAATATTCCTTTCTTCAAGTTGTCTCAGAAAATATGCCAGCTTTAATTATTTCTTAAAATTAAAAAAGGCAACCAAATAAACAGTACTTTTATTAATTAGTATTTAGTAGCATTGTAAATTGAAAAAAAAAATCTTACTATGCATGAACAAAAACAAAGAGGGTATGTGGTGAAAAGAAGTCAAATGCAAGATTGGTGTTCACATGCATCTTTGTCTTGTGGGTCACTCATGCCAAACCCTTCCAACTGTCATTTAATCCAAGGAAGCATATATATTAGTGCTATGTTTGTTAAATTTTTTTAATAAAAAGAATATAAAAACGTCAAAGATGTTGAAAATCCCTTCCAAAGTGTGCACATAAACAGTCAATTTTGAGATCCCATGAAGTGTGAAAATTGTAAGACCAAGCATGGCTAAGAAGAAAGTTGTCGTGACTGTGTGAGACATGAATAAGTTGATTTTGTTGGCTTATAAATTAGTGTGATCTTTTGTATTTACTATTTGGTTTTGATGTTGTTTCTGTGACATTAACACGAATAATTGAGGTTTGTACTTTTATAATCTCCCCCATTGTTTCTATCAATCTTTTCACATTGACAAAGGTATTGTTGATAGGAGACATTGCTAGTTTTTTCTTACTAATAAGGAAACATCCAAGTTAATTCACATCATCCAAATAAGTGGCGTTTTTGTGGGGTTTTAGATCAATGATAGTTAATAAGAGTTAAAGGCATGTTCAATGAAACTTCTATTTCACTTTTTTTAATGCTCAATATTTTAATAAGGGCAAAAAAAGTAAATCAAAAGGGAAAGCAATAATTACGTAACGTCAACATGGCTTCAATTCCTTACTTCCCATAACAAGGAAAAAATAATTAGAGAAAAAAAAATGGGAAGTGAGGTTGAAGATTTTTTGAAAGCCTCAAACTATGATTAATAATTTTATTCTTCGTTTGATCTTCATCACGCATAAAAAGGTCAAAAATGATGGCGAAATTAAACAGGGAATGGAATGATACCCAACTTCCCAAATTTTTTTAGGATAAAACTTGGACCTGATTTCATTATAATTTTGTTTAGCATACCATATATGATTAACATAGTACATTAAATTTAATTTATTTGCATTAAATAAGTTTGGCTCCACGATTGGATTAAAATATTTGAAGCAGCCGGACTCAAGTTGGTCTAAGTAGGTCGTTGTTTATGAATTTCCTTAGATAAATTTCTTCATAAGTTTTTTTTAGAAAGTAATAAATAATTTTTATTATTATAAAAATTAACTTTTACATAGACTAATTCAAAGAACCTCTTTTATTTTAATGTCTCTAAAAATGTGATTTTTGATTTATGTATAAGTTATTTTGAAGCTAATTTCATTTGTCCTAGAAATAATTATGGGAAAGTTTATCATAACAAAATGTAAAAAAAAAGGGCATTTTTTTTAGGAAAAATATGAAAATATTAAATGAGTTATGCCAATTTTTTTCACATTTACGTTGGAAAAATTGAATAATAATTCTGTCATTTTTGTGAGGGAAATATCATTCTTAATGTCGTTAGAATGCTCGTTTACATCTTTTGATAACCTAACCACCAATTTCATTCTTTCTCACCAAACAGCACTATATAGTATATAGGTTTGAAAGGGAGAGGCCAACCATGAATTTACTACCTAACGTTTCAAAGAAATGATTAAAAAAAAAAGTACTTGTATAAATTAAATTATATAAAGTTTGTGTTAGATGGAAATTACTAATAAAAACTTGTTGTAACTAAATTTAATTAATTGATTAAAACTATATTGAATTTAATTAAAACATATTAACAGGATAAAAACTTTTGTAATTATTAGTGTTTGAACATTTCTAGAAGACTTAGACCCACATGAATAAATATATTAGTATAATATTATCAAGTCCAATTACTGAATTACAAGACAAAAGAACCAACGTCCTATAGGCTATGGGGATAAAACCTTCCAACCCTACATTGATGTCCATACAGTTGCAAAGTATGAAAATTGATACATAATCTATTAATATTTAACTATATAAATAACGAAATTCACTCACAATCTGGATTCGTATGTAATTAAAATATTAACTTTTGTTATAGTCACATTAAAAGTCACATGTGAGATAATTTTAACTAATTCACTTCTACACTAATAATGCATCAAAATTTAATTTTAAACTCGTTATAACATTACAAGTTATTTGTTTAGTAAAAAGATTAATTTTAAATTATTAATTATTTTAAATAAATATAATTACGAAATATCATTTGAATGAAATGAAAATATTATAAATAAAAATTAAATTTAAATGATCAATATTAAAGAAGTAATGTGATTCATTAAAAATAGATTAATTCTTAAAAAAATCTTTATTCGATACTAAATCTTCTTTGGCGCTATTGTAGTAAAAAAAAATTTACTTCCTCTTTATGTAAAATCACTATTTATATATTTTTTTTTACTGGAAATTAGAAGTTTAGAATAAATATTAGTAAAAAAAAATTATGAAATAATAAAGAATTATAAGATTTAAAGTTAAGATATGTTATACTAGGAGTGGATAGAAACCCGATCCAATGACTTGATTAACCTAAATTAAATTAAAGAAAATAAATTCGAGCTGATTTAAATTATTGGTTTAATTTAAATTTTAAAATTACAAATTCAATGACATTGCTTTGAGTATAAGATTTGATCAGGTAGAACCTAAACCAACTTAAATATGAACTTATACTATTTGAGAAAATAATTTTTATATTATGTAATTCTATAAGTTTTATAATTATAAATTTTGAGATTATTCATCAACACTAATATAATTATGTTGATTCAGTTTTTTTTATCAATTTTATTTGGCTTAAAAATGTTTTTAGTCCTTCAAATTTAAGATAAATTTATTTTTGGTCCCTCAAATTTAAAACTGTTGTTTTTGGTCCCTGTAATTTTCAAAATTTTTGTCTTAGTCCCTTAGGTCACCAATAACATATTTGAAAGTGACTAATTAAGACAGATATGCAATATCAACCAGATTTAATGTGATATTTTCACTAATAAGAATACTAATAGATAGATTTTATGCAATAATGTTTCATAAATTTCTTCATAAAATTTGAATATAAGGACTAAAATAAGATTTTTTAAAATTACAGGGACTAAAAATAACAATTTTAAATTTGAGGGACTAAAAACAAATTTACCCTAAATTTGAGGGACTAAAAACATATTTAAGCCATTTTATTTTTATCCATACTAATAATAATAAATTATCTTATTTAGTACTCACTTTTATCCTTAATAATTATATACAACTTCCAACAATTTTACAAATTATTAGAATAAATTTGTTTTTTTTCCTTTCTCTTTTTTAACGAAAAAACGTAATGCCTTTTTCTACCAATAATATATAAATTAAATAATATTTGTTTTGGTTTCTCTCCGAAAATGGGGCTACATGCCTATATATCACCCTTCTAGCCTATCCTCAAGACCACTACTGTGCATAGTAACATTAGGGTCGTGTGTTTCACTTTTTTAAACTAAAGGAAAAAATTTGGATTTTTTAAAAATTTCAAATAGAAACTTGATTAAATTTTTTCACAACAATTTAAAAAGGAAATTAATTGAAATATTAAAATTACATATTTCCACTAGTGAAATACTGTTGCAGAACTCTTTAATAAAATTCAAAATTCAACTATTCTTATTCTATCACACGTTCTAGCCTTTTCACCGAAAAAATAAAAATCACACGTTCTAACATGAAATCTGTGATTAAAATTAATCTAGATACAAATCTTAATTACATTGAGTAATTGAAATTTAACTAATTTTATTATAATCAACGGGAATGCCACGATAATAAAGCAAATTTGGCGTCCATACAATATGGCTTCATCTTTGATCCAGATAAGGTAAGGTTCGTTCTTTACCTGCTTCTACTTTCTATTCCAACCCATTCATTTTCTTTTACTCTTCTGCCATCCTAATTTTCTGTTCAAGATTTCAATCGCAAAAGGAACCAACTTTGCATTCAATTTGTTATGGGTCGATCTAATTTCCTTTTCGCTACCATGCTGTTTTCATCATAAAACATCGTGCCCAATCACATTAAAGCTGTCTTTTTTATTCTTTTGTCAAATTTAGGAACAACAATTCATGTGAAGTAATTACTAATATGTTTGATGTTGTTTGGAGTTAGTTCCCAGTAACATGGAATTAAGGCCATTGATTTTGCAACCCAACTTGACACACTTGTTTCCAACATTCACATGCTGTGTCAAACCCCCTTTTCAGCAGAAGGAATTATTCTCGGTGAAAATCAGTAGAAGGGTGTCCTTGATTTTGGGGGGTGAAGGCATATTTCGGACACAAAGTGCAAATGCATTTGAGTTTAAATTTGTGGCCCCTGATATGACAATTGAAGAGGCATTGAGTGGAGTGAGGGGTCATGCACAAGATTTGTTACTAGTTAGAGATTTGTTAGAGTTAGGGTCATGGAAAGCAGCACAAAAGACACTGAGACAGAGCTCAACACTTCTGAAGAAGGATATCTATACCATAATCCAAAGCAAGCCTGGTGTTGAGAGGCCCCAACTAAGGAAGCTCTATTTTACTCTCTTCAACAATGTAACTAGAGTAAGTGCTGCAACATGTGGAAGGTGCATTTTCAATCTCAGTCATAAATGGTTCACACATGTATTCATTACCTGGTCTATTTTTTCTTAAATCTTGGAACCAGTTATCCCATCCTTTGAGGTGCTTCTAACGTAACGAGGAGATTAGTCACTGTTATCGATAGTAGATACTTCGGGACGAAACAAAAAAAATATTTTTTTTATTCTCAAACAATTGTCATTTTAGAATCTCCTAGTCTAATTAATATTTTTTTTTCTCAATTATACCACTATTTAATAGATGTTTTCTCCATCAATTGTTCACTTGTCTTTTACAAAAACGAGTTAATAGAATTGAGATAACGGGATATTAAATATGGGTTGTTTAATCCAAATTTACATCTATTATTTTTTTTAAAAAAATTGTGTGTATTAACTTTCAATGATTAAGGTTTTGTTTGGAGGAGAGAAAAGAATAGAAGAGAATAAAAAGGAATAAGTGAGAATTGATTTGATAGGAATTAGGTAAGAAATTGAGTAAAATAAAATGAAATTTGTAGTTGTTTAGTAGAGTGAAATTAAGTAAAAAATAGAGTGATTTTAATAGTTACAATTACTATTTTACCCTCACTTTATACTATAATAAAAATTAATATTTTTTACTTTATATAATTTTACACATTTTTCAAAATTCACAAGAATTTCTTCAATAGAGAGGATATAAAAAATGACACCACACACAAATATTTTTTTTCAAATCCACTCTACTCTAGTCCATTCTCCCATTAAATCACCTCCACCGAACATTGCCCAAAGATATGTGATGGAAGGAGTATATGCTATGTAATCTGCTTTGATTTTGACCCATTTGTATACCTCCATTCCATCAATTATTAAATGTATAGTGGTTTTACAAACTTATCTTTACCCGGGATTCATACATAGATGGCCAAGTTTGATTTTGTTCAATTTTAATGTTGAGCATCTATGTATGACTATATAGTTAAGATTAAAACAAAGTAAATTTTATTATGAAAATTGAAAAGGAAGTACAATCATAGGAAAAACGGGAAACGAGGGCAATGGAGGGATTAACCTGAGTGAAGAAGCTCTTCATTTTGTAGAGTCAAATAGATAATTTTACATTTTCTATTTAGATACTTACAGAGAGATGACCTACCATATGAATTACATGTTATTGATGGGGGGAACTGATTTGTGCTTGTGCATGATCTTTTATCAAATGTATGAATAGAATAATGGCAGATGCTTATTAGAATCTATTTGTTGAATTGTTACTTGATATTCAAATTGGATTTCTGATTAACTTTGACAAACAACTTTGCCACTGAATATTTATTTTTGTTGCTGTGTAAATGGTTATTAATTGACAATTATTCATGTGGTGTAAAACAATGCAGCTAGATTATGCAGCAAGGGATAAAGATGCACCACAAGTTTGGCAGTGTTATGAGAACATTGTTGTGGCTGTCAACGACATTCTATCCAGAATATAATGATCTCTGTAGCCTTTTGATAATGGGAGATTGAACTGTTTGTGATAACTTCATGCCAACAACTGCCAAAATTGCTTGTTGCAAGAAGTGAAGTAGTGGAGAATATGAACTCAAAAGTAGCTAAACAAAGAAAGGACCCTGTTATATAGAATTATAGCCATGAGTTTGATCATGAAGAGTTAGATAAGAATCTTGAATGTTTAATTATATTTGAAAGCAAAATGATACTCAGCCTCTGGCATCATCACTGATTAGGTGCTAAAAAAAGAACACATGTAGGCATATCAATTTTTGGTACTCAGAAATCTAAGAAATTTTTTGATCTGTTCTAGCTCCAACTTTGAGATTGTCATCGTGATTAAACTATTTCCACATAAGGTATTAATTATTATGTGTTTTGGTTACTAAATATTATTCATATTTGTTGACTTCACACTTGTCCATGTTAATTTGAGTTGGTGTGGATAAAAAATGAAGTAATTGATTGGTGCTTAATTAGTGGAACTGTGGAAGTGGAGTTGATAGTCTTCAAATAGATTATGGAGATAATTGATTTGTGAACTTTATCAAAGAATTGGAAGTTGAGCTGGAAAAGCAAAAGATTGTTAAAAAAGAAGGAAATCTAGGATTTTCAACTTTCAATCATATAAGGATAAAAAAAAAAAAAAAAAAAGAGCTGACACATAAAGGATAATAAAGAGTGGGAAGTGATACCTGGGAGAATATATATGTTGCTTTTTCTCTCCCTTTTGCTCAAGTGGAATCTCCTCTATTAAAATCTTTCATTCCAGGTGACACAATTTGAAACCAAATACCTGGGTCTATATTCTTAAAGATAGAAAAGTGTAAGGAGCATTAAAAGAACTGATGACAATTAAAAGAAACAAACAAATAGTATAATAGAATTTGATCTTACATCTCTTAACTAGTCTTTTTCATTTATTTATTCATAAAATTAAAAGTTATTTATTGTTATAAAAGTGAAAATTGCATGAATAAATGCTTAATTATATTAATGTAATCTTTTATTTAATTTCAATTTGCATGCATATTTAGTCCTACTATATACCATTTTGTGATGTCTCTTAAAAGCTACTCCAATGTTTGTAATGTGTGCAGGGTTGAGTAATATTCGTCATTGCTCGATTTAAATAACCATTTTTGTTGTTAGCCACCTATTTTGATCAATATACAATTACTCCCTCTGCTATCAAATATATATAAAAAATCATATATGTTGATCTAAATATAAGGAAATTCTTACTAATTTTATTTTATTTAATAATATAATTTCAAAATACCTCTTCATTTAATTTAGATTATATTTCTAAATTCTAATGTTTTTTTAATATCTAGTTCTAATGAAGGGTAATTTATTCTTAATATCTAAATTGTAATGACTTTTTTATTCTTAATATCTAGTTCTAATGTGACATATTGCAAATTTTTGGTATGAAATTTTTTATACGAAAATTATTAAGAATGATGGCTAGGGAAAAAAGAAAAGTAATGTTAAGAAGGAACAAACAAATGATAAATCAAAATGTGTCTTCTGTTTACTTTCCTTCATGTTGAGTCATTCCGTGAAAACAAATGTGCCATTATCAAATTTTACTTTCGTGAGTTAAAACTTCAATATTGTCTGTGCTTATGTCATTTGTCACCTTGTATTTAATTTTTTTTTTTTTGCACAATTACATCTGGTTTTTACATGGGGGGGAGAGAACTTCATTGTTTCCTTCTGTAAATAGCAACATGATTTGTAATTTCCCATAGGGTTATAACAACCTTTTGGTTAGTATAAATATCAATAGTATTGTTAATATAATAATTTTGCTAACAAATAGTTTAAAGATACCAATTAAGAAATTAACAAATAAAAATATATTAATTATCACATTGTTTGTTTGGCCAAAATTATTTGTGACCATTTTCATAAGGTCTATATTGTGAAATATATAATTGAAAATACCCGAAGCAGTGACTCCGTTGTAGTCTAGTTGGTTAGGATACTCGGCTCTCACCCGAGAGACCCGGGTTCAAGTCCCGGCAACGGAATTTTTTTTAATTTATTTTTTAACTTTTGAAGATGATTTATAATCGTATAATGTATGACTTCAAGTCCTCAATGTCCATGATATAGATTCTGTTTATAAAATAATAATATTCTAAATTTAAATTTTATTTTAAAATATTTGTAAAACTAAATAATTTAAAAAAATGATTATATTTAATAACATTATTCGAAATTTAAAAGATAATGTTTTACAATAATGAATGTGATTTATATTATAAAATGAATGAGTGTCTCATTTATATTTTAAAATTAATTAAGAGTTATAAAATATAATAACTTATATACTTTCTTGGTTGGTCTATGTAGGAAAATTTGATTAGTCATTTTTAATGACTTTTATTTATTTTTTCTATTTATAAAACTTCGAACATGAAATATTATATAAAACATCAGAATTCAATTGATTAATAATGACATGTTGATTAATAATTAATACATTTAAAATATAAATTTATATTTTTAATAATTAGGATAGAACTGGCTTTTTTTTATCTATTATAATCATAAATACAAAATATTTACCAAGATATTCATTCTATCAAAATATTTACCCGAATTCTAATATGCTTTTTTTTTTGTATGCATTGGGATTCTTCGTTTGGAAAACAGATTTTCTAACGTATATTTTCTTTTTTCTTTTTTTTTACACAAAGGGAAATACACGCATTTCAAAAGCAGATAGTTATTTTTTGGTAACAGGATCAAAAGCAGATTTCCCAACGTTACTCTTTTTAAAATTTTTTTTTATATATAATTTAAATAGTTAAATTAATTTAGATTTATTTAAGTAGTTAATTTATATATTATTTTATTGTATTTATTTATAGTTTAAGACAACAAAACAATATCTTGATTAACATTTTATATTTATAAATAGCCCAACAAAATTAATATTGATCTATCCTATATTAAAATTACAAATCCTACTTCAAGCTTAAAATATATTAAATCATTACCTTTTATTTAGGTTAGCTACATTGTATGTAGTTTCACACGGGAACATAGTGAATTCCTATTAGAGAAGTGGTATAACTTTCACAAGGGGAACAACATATAAGAAAGTTTAGTATTTTTTATAAAAGCAAAAAAGTATTATTATTTTGAGGGTAAGATAGTATAAGATATATAATAAACAAAAAAAAAATAGGAAAGGTTAGTATTAACTTAAATATAACTAATATTTTAGTCTGTCTAATCTACATACATATTTATTATATATAACTAAAATTTATAATAAATTATATAAATAAATATTATATTTAAATATATAAATTATATTTAAAATTAGTATACATAAATATTTTTAAAAATATAAATTATATTTTAATTTTATAATAAATAAATTATATTATAATAATTTTTATTTATTAATAATTTATTTTAAAATATTAATTTAATTTATAAATTGTAACATAGTGCTAGGTAAGTTGTGTAGAGTTTAGTTACTCTTAGGGGAAAGGTATATAAGGTTTCTTTAGAGAACAAAGTCTCATAAGTTTTTTCTCCAAAGAAATCTAGTGAGAAGTTTTAGAGAGAAGGATTCTGTAACTGTGAACTCCTTTTTTTTTCCAAACTTCTCTGTCTGATTCTTTTCTTTCCATAGATAACTAATCTCTTTGTCATTTCTTGAAATTCATGCTAGAAAGTTGAGATTTTTAGAGATTGAAGTTGTCGGACCGACCTTAATTAGAGTTTCTTCTCCTTCTTCCTCTTCTTGATTGTTTTGAGCCATATTCAAGTGAGGGGAGCTAGAATGTAGGTTGTTGGATTGCATGTGAGTTTAAAAACCCTATTGGTGTATGAGTTTGGGAATATAACTGTTGAATTGAGAGATTTTTTCTCATTTTCGAGGTTTCGGGCCAAAATGGGATTTTTTGTGATTTTGATGCATCGGGTAGGTGCATGTTGAATCTAAGCATGTTTTTGGATTGTATGGAGTTTGGTCGTTGTCTTGGATGGTTTGCATGTTGTTAGATTGCTTGAGTTTGCAGGTTTTGGGCGAATTTTTGAGTTTGGAATGTTGCTGGTTGAATATGCGTCGGGCATGTGTTCATGACACCGTGCAAGTATTCATAAAGGATAACCATTTTTGATTCACGTCAGCCATGAGGTTAGTCTCGCTGGGCGTAAATGTAAATTAGAGTCTCTAGATGAACTATGTCAGGAGTGGATGAAGTCACGCCGAACATGATATTAAGCAATAGCATGAGTGGAATCTTAATGATATGGCACTAGGCGTAAGAATGATTTCGTCGGGTGTGGAAGCCCTGAAGTCTCTGACTTTGTGAGGCCGGGCACAAAGTGAATTATGCCAAGCATAATTCTTTTAAAATAGTCTCTGCCAGACTAATGTCGGGCGTGGTATTCTAATGTCAAGCGTGGAAGAGTCCTGGAGTTCTCGAGTTGAGCTTAGGTCGGGCACAAGCTGAGTTGTGTCGAGCGTGAATTGTCTTTTGTTGTTGTGATTGAGTTGTAATGTTTTTGCATGTGTTGGTGTTTAATGTTGGTTCATATATGTATAGTATATGATGAGTGGTGATGTATGATTCATATGTATGCTTAGACAGATATGTATGAATGTTTTAAAACATGAATTGAGATGTATGTATGTTCCTATGTGGATGATATTGATCATGATGATGGATTGACTATGAATGATGTATGATGTACTGGGGAAGGTGCGTGGTTCATTGCAGATAGTTGATGAGCGAACTCTACAAGTGACTTGGTAATGCATTCCAAGGTCATGGTAAAACTGTACCTAGTTGTGCTATACCTAACGGTGGAACCAGACTTCCAATTATGTAAATGACACTATCCAAGTAAACACTTAGGGAGATTTGATATCCCAGTTTGTTGTTGATCCAGCAGGGCGCTTCAGGCGTTAAAGCGGTCAGGGTGATTTCAATAGGATGAGATGTCATTTATATTGCTTTGTTGTTAGGGAGATCTCCTATGTAAATACGTGACGACGCATTTGATGATTGATATGTATATTGATATCTTTCATGAGTTGCATTTTTTGCATGATTGTTGTATGATAGAGTGCATTTTTTTGACTTTATGAAAATGATTGATGATTTTGATGATGGTATATCATAGATGCTTATTCTTATGTTTGTATGGTGATTTATAAAACTCTAACTTACCCTTTTGTTTCCATGTGGATGAATTGCAATGATCATACTGTGTATGAGAGTAAGTTAGGGTTAAAATGGAGCGGGCTGCTACTGGATGCTGGAATTTTTGTCCTAGTATTAGAGTTACCATTTCGGGTAACTGGTAGGATGTGTTTGACCAATACTAGGAGAATATTATTCCTTTTGGATGACTGTATATACATCATATTTATATTTATTCATATAAATGTGGGTTTTTTTTTTTAATTATTCAGATGTATGTTTATATTGTTATTTTCAATAAATAATCTCTCTCTTAGTTAAACTATTTAGTAAGGTGATTTCACATAGTGTAGAGATCATAACGAGTCGTTACATAAATAATTATAATAAATAAAAATTTTAAAAAATTTCTGTACTATACTTTATATAATACGATTAATTTAAAAAAATATTTTTATTAATAGTCAATTTTTAATCCTTATTTTGAACTAACAAAATTTTCTTAATAATTTCCTATTTGACGAAATTTTTTTGGAAAAAAAATTATTCAAATGTTAACAATGTTATATAATAAGATATAATTTTTTTTGATGGAATTAATTTGGATGAAAAACTACTCTAAATGTTAACAATTTTATATAATAAGATGTTATATATAAATCATTAATCTTAATTAATTTAAGAATGAAATTAATCTTATTAATAATCAAATTTTAACTCTTATTTTGAGTCAAAAAATTTTGTTTAATAATTTTCTATTTGACAAAATTTTTTTTGGAGACAATAACTGATTCAAATGTTATCAACTTTATATAAACTAAAATTTGTTTTATTTAATATTAACAATTTTCTTTTGGAGATGTTCAGACAAATTAAGATTCATTCCTTTTAAAAAATATATTTTATTTAACAGAATAAGTAGTTTTATGTTTTTCAGTGTGTTTGTCTAAACCATGTATTTTTAAAATAAGCACTTCTTGCTTTTTTAAAGAAGAAAATTATATTTGTTTTTTTAATATATATTTTTTTAAAAAATATTTTATTTTGAGCAAATGAATATTTTATTTAATTATTGCTTAGTTGAAGAAAAAAATTATTTAAAATGTTAACAACTTTTGTCCATAAGATATCTTATATGGACGAAAATTTTTTTGAGGGGAAAAAACTTCTCTAAATTTAAAACTTTACACATGAAAATAATTATTATTTTAATCCTTATTTTGAGCCAACAACAATTTCCATCATTATTTCCTATTTCACAAATTATTTTTTTGAAAACAAACTACTTAAAATGTTAACAACTTTATAATGTAAGAAGATAATCTTTATTTTGAGCCAACAAAAATTTTCTTAATTATTTTCTATTTTAAATTTTTTTTTGGGGGGAAAACTACTTCAAAATTTAACAAATTTATATAATAAGATAATATTCCCTATATGGACAAATTGTTTTGGTGAAATTTCATGAATTTTTCTTTGAGAAAAAAACTACTTTGAATGTTAACAACTTTATATAATAAAATAATCTTTATTTTGAACCAATGATTTTTTTTAAAATTATTTCCTATTTCACAAAATTTCACAATTTTTTTTAAAAAAAAATTATTTCAAATGTTAACAACTTTATATAATAAGATAAAATAAGATGAAAATTTTCCTTATTTATTCCCTATTTGGACAAAATTTTTGGGGAAAAAAACTACTCCAAATGCTTACAACTTTATATAATAAGATTTCCTACATGGATGAAATTGGAGAAAAGTACTACTCTAAATATTAATAAATTTATATAATAAGATAACTCTTTTTTTAATTTTTATTTTGAGCCAACAATTTTTTTTCTTCTTAATTACTATATATTTCACAAAATTTAATGAATTTTTTTTCGAGGAAAAATACTTCAAATGTTAATAACTTTATATAATAAGATAACTCTTATTCTAATTCTTATTTTGAGCCAACAGAAATTTCCTTAATTATTTTCTATTTCACAAAATTTCACGAAATTCTTTCGGGGAAAAACTATTTCAAATGTTAACAACTTTATATAATAAGATAAAATTTTCTAAGATAATTTTTTTGGGTGGGGGAAGGGGAAAACTATTCGAAATGTTAAAAACTTTATATAATAAGATAATCTTTATTTTAATCCTTATTTTGAGTCAACAAAATTTTTATAATTATTTTCTATTTCATGAAATTTTACAAAATATTTTTAGAAGAAAAACTACTTTAAATATTAACAACTTTATATATATATATAT